AAGAATTATTCAGACCGAGGTCAATGTTATCTGCCGAAGCGAAGCTGAGGCGGATAAAATAGACCGAGGCCTGAATAATTCTTGATATCATGCGAAAGCCGAATCCAATAATTGTTTTATTATACATTTAAAGACATGAGAAACGTATAAAACGATTCCTGTTCATGAGGTAGGAAAAGTACAATTCAAATATCAAACACCTTGCACAAAATCAAAGGTCAGCTAAATATTCTACTTCTATTTACCCCTGTGTGGCTTTTTTCGTGCTTTCACTATCCTTATCTGCCAATAATTTGGAGAGTTCACTTTCATTCAGCAAAGCAAATGTAGGCCATTGTTTGTTTGTTTTTTCGCGCGCTTATAGGTTCAAGCTTTTGACCGCGCAAGGGTTTGGGCACGAGAGAGTCCAATAATTTTTATTTTGGATGCAAGTTCGATCCAAAAAAACAATTATTGGACGCTGATGACGTCATCGGCGGAAAATACGTAATAAATGCCGAATACTGAAAATTAGCCGGTGCTTTCTGACCAATTAGAAACGAGAATACATATTAAATGTATAATAATAGTAATAAAAATGCCTGGTGGAATTTGTTGAGTCGTTGCACTTATTTAATTATGTTCTGGATATCCATTGAGCACTCTGCCAAATGTTTTTGTAAACAACGAAACCTAATTATATATATATATATATATATATATATATATATATATATATATATATATATATATATATATATATATATATATATATATATGTATGTATATGTATGTATGTATATATGTATGTATATATAGAATGTTATTCAGAACATAAACAATGTGTAAATGGCTGCGTTTTAACTCCAAAAAAGCAAGCAACGCAGTCAGTAATTACCAAATTTGCAAGTGCTCATTTTCAACTAAAATCGTAACAGAAAACCAGTCTCAAGCTTCAAGTCGTGAGGGAAGTCGTGCGACCACATTAGCATTCGCTGTCGCCATTGTTATAAATAAATTGTCTCACTTATCAGATCGTGTGTGCAATTCTTGTTGGCGGCGGAAAGTACGAAATTTATTTCAGTTATTTCATTTGGTAAAGAACTCTACAAAAGAAGAGAGCGTTCAGAGTCCAGATCGTTTCGTTTCAAACGGCAATTTAATACCGTCTTTTGTTTCGCTCTCTCAGCGAAGCCTTGTAAATCGCAAAGTGTTTCGAATAGGCTTACATGCAACTGCATCTCAACATCAACCAAAAGATCATTTTCTTGAGGAACATATAACGTATCAAGTCTGTTTGAAATTAATGAAACTCAAGTGTATTAAAGGCTCTGTGGTAAAGGTTACTATAGTTTACCCCAGTCGTAATGTTGCTATTCCAACACCTCACGACAAGCAATCCCCATTGGCATAACGGCAAAAATATCTCTTCCTTCAAGTAAACAATAAACAGTCTGCTCTTGTTCCATTTGTAATCGAAAAAAGTGATCAATTTTCGAATTTTAAGCTTATCGAGATTTATCGAGAGCCTTTGTCATGAATCACTGACCTAATTATAGAATCCAACAGCAAACAGCCAATCAGAATGCCGCGTTCGTGGGCGAACGCGGAAAGTACAAAATACCGGGCCTTGCTTGCAGGTCCACTATCAGTTCCCTTGGGCCTGCACGCGGGCTAATGCATTCATCGTCCCCGTAATGGGGCATTTTCCACTCTCAGCTTGCCCAAGGACCGTGCATTAGTCTCCTAGTTGTGTCCCGGCACACTTCTTCTGTTAACTTTACACTATCGTAAACAGTCAAATCAAATGCCCGAGGGTGTTCCCCGGGGAGAGGGGGACGGTTACTCCTGGAATTGACTCGTGCATATTTATTAAATTTCAATAAATTGACCACAATAACATGCCTATGATAATTATAATTTGATATACAGTATGATGTACATGATAATACAATAAAAACTTGTTTTATTGTTTTAAAACAAGTGCAGCTCTCTGCTGGTTTAAAATGGGCTGTTATAACACTGAGTTATCCATGCTGTGGATTTTGCAGCTCGATTTGCAACAAAAACATCAGGATCAGGCGATCAGCTCGTATGGGTGTATGTACACGATCCAGTCGCGTCGGCCAAAGACAGAAAAAAAACTTTGAAAATCGCACAGATATAAATTCTATAAAAATATTGAAACAACTCCTAAGTCTTCTAAATAATATTTTAACACTTTAACAAAAATTCATTAAAATTATAATCTTTGATGGCGCAAATTCTTTCCAAGGTATTAGACGCCATTTTAGCAAGCGTCGAGTTGACAATAGTCGCTTCAATGGCCAATATCTCGAAAACTGCCGGGGAATCACCGGCATCATTCCAGCAGATTTAAAGCTTATTCTTTTGTTTTGAAGACTACCAAAAATGAAGAAAATCGAACCATGGGAATTCTAGATATTTAATTTTAAACATTGTAAACATCTATAAGCTTGGGAGTATTGTGGATGGTTTAATAGTTTCTGTAGAGATGCCACAGGTTGATGTTTTAAAATTTCCCTTAATTAAATTCACATTTTATACCTTTTACAATGTTAGCATCATATCTTTTAAAACTAAAAAATATATGCATCAAATGTCAACACGTGTATTTAAATGTTTCACTGTATCCGGGTACAGTATATCTAATATCCAATGCGAATGCATTTCAATAAGTGGCAATGCGCCCTGCTGTGGCCTAATCTATTATTTTACTCTGTCTAATGCCAGATGGAGTGTGCTGCCACTCAATTGCTAACAATTATAAATTAATCAGAGTATCTGCTCATGCACCCTGTTAACCCATTAAGTGGCAATGCGGCATACTCTATTATTTTAATGTGCTGAGTGATTATATTACTACCTGAAATAAACAAGCAGTTTTGTTATTTCAGGTAGTAATATAACCATTCAGCACATCAATTTCACATTGGTACTACCGACACTGGTACAGACAGTTTTAGTATTAGGCTTGTGATGTTACTCTGAGTGCATATCCACACCGGGCAGGCTTGAAAAATATGCCTGGCCACGTAGGGAATCGAACCTACGACCTTTGGAATACTAGCCCACAGGTCGGTTCGAGTATGTGATATTTCGAAACTGAGTCTAGTTCCTTCGATATCAGTGTAATATAATAATCATGATATTTGCTGTGTTGGTGTAGTGTACTTGGTTGAATGAAAAATATGCCTGGCCACGGTGGGAATCGAAGCTACGACCTTTGGAATCTAGCCCAATGCTCTGCCAACTGAGCTACGCGGTCAGGTCGGTTCGAGTATGTGAGATATTATTCCAAAGGGCGTAGGTTCGATTCCCACCGTGGCCAGGCATATTTTTCAAGCTTGCCCGGTGTGTAACCTATTGACTATGACCACTATGACAAAAGTTGGGCACAGGAGGTCAAATTTTTAAAATATGGCAGCCAAATATATTTTTCTTTTCACAGTATTCAATTTTAGGTTTTTCAAATGTTCAAGAACAGTGTTTTTTTACTAAGTATGGGTCATTTAGTGCCTAAGTGAAATATAATTATTTTATTAAACCGGTAGGTATATATTACTTATATTATTTATGTGTAGACACACCACTACTGTAGCGGAGACTTCAACACAGCAGTCAACACAGCAGGGGTCATCCTAAGGCCTTCCATTTTTCAAAATGGGCAGTTCTAATTGGAAAATGAGTAGTTCTAAATCCTAAAATGGGAGTTCTAAAATTTAGTTTTGGAGAGAAAATGCTGAACTTCCAAACGTGAAAGTGTCTAAACACTCAATAATCAATATTTAAAAGATTATCTACAAAAAAAAGGTTGCGGATTTATCTAATATTTTGGCTCGGATTGTGGATTTAGCTTGCAATTTAGTTCGGATCCTGGATTGTGACTTTAATACTAGAGCTTTTAGCGGATTAAAATTTAGACAAGACCATTGTCGGGTCGCGGATTTTGCTTCAAATTTGTGCGGTTCGGCGGATTTGCATACTTCTGTAGGAATGATATATTATGTAGCTATAGTATCTAAGGAATAATTACATTTTATAATAACATTTCTGCAAGTGAATGTGGTTCACCCACCATTTCTTCAATTTTACCATTATAAAACTTCTTAAAGTCAAAGTCAACTAGTATTGGCTCCTTAAAAGCTCTTTTAGGCTACTTTTTTATTAATCTTTTCTTAATTGTACTTGTGAGGATTGGAAATTGTTACACTGATACCATCTAGTGACTAGTGCAAACTTAAGTGCGAATAAGGTAAAATATTATTAGTTTTTGTGATACCATATTCTCTCTACTATTTTTTTCTGGTCCTTTGAGTGGGGGGGGGGGCTTATTAGAGAGAGGGGCTTATTTAGGAGGGGGCGCATAGTTTCTTGGTAAAATTATATGACAATGTCCCTCCAGCACAAAAAAAAATGTGTAAAACGACTATGTATTCTAACAATTTTAACACAAGCGTTTTAATTAATGAGATGTTCAACTATATATTTTTCAAATATTCGGCTATATATATGTTTTAAGATGTTCGTGACATGTATGATGTGTTAATTACATATTTTCTATTAACCGGGGGCAGGGATTAATAAAGAGAGGGAGGGGGCTTAATAAAAATCTTCACCTAAAAGGGGGCTTATTAGAAAGGGGGCTTATTTGTGAGGGGGGCTAAATAGAGAGAATATGGTAGAATATCACTCAAACTAACTACTACTTTGAAACTACAAAATGCCATTGGAAATTGGACTTAAATACTAATATGTTGTCTTTTTTACCATGACGCCTGTAAACTGCAACTGATTCTGTCAATTTTTACGTTTAATGAGGCGACAGAAATAACATATGTTACATATGTAAACACCAACCAAACATTCCAACTCAACTTTCAATTAGTCATGAAATATTAGACTAAATAACTAAACAAGTGTACCTTCTAAAACGTAGAAAATTGATGCTCTATCATCCATATTAGTCAATATCTTGCAATATTAAATAAACCAAATCGCTCACTCAGTGCGTTGGAGTGCTGCACAAACATGAATGGAATTAGGTCGGTTGGGACAATAGAAGACTTGGTCTCAAATTGTGGACAAGCAGCACGCACCCACACAATTAGGGTTAAGGTGGAAATATACGGATGAAATTTTGGGTGATACTTTGGGTTGGCCATCGTTATCGTAGTATCTGCGACACAGCCTTGTTGTAACCACCATGTCTTCAGGCTGGTATGGTATATTACCTCCTGGTTTTAACAATTCTTGGCAGCCATAACATCGTGAAACCTTCTTGTCGAGGAATGATTACCGACCAAATGCAAATACTCCAGGAGGAGGCTTGGGTCGAGAAGGTGTATTCGAGTTTGCTTCTGCACTTAAAACACTGCCTAAAGGAGGTTGAGCTGTCTGACAAGTTGGTGGAGTTGGGATTGTTGAAAAGGAGGCTGAAGAAGTTGGAGCTGGTGGATCTGAGGTTGGGTGGACCTGAGGGATTGGGTAGGTTGGAGCTGTTGAGTACGAGGTTGAGTACACTGGGGAGGCTGGGCAGGTTGGAGCTGTCGAATACAAGGTAGAGTACGCTGGGGGGACTGGGTAGATTGGAGTTGTTGAGTACGAGTTTGGGTGAACTGAATTAATTGAGTTGGTTGGAACTGCTGAGTTGGATGTAGGGTGAACTGAAGAGACTGGGTAGGTTGGAACTGTTGAGTACAAGGTTGGGTGGACCAATGGGATTGAGTTGGTTGGGGCTGTTGGGTGGACTGTGTGGGTTGGAACTGCTGAGTGCAGGCTGACAGCTGGGAGGAGTGAGTTGAAGTATTAACCACATTTTGCGGAGTGAACCTATGAGAGGCAACGGTTTTTCCAACAGAAGGTGCTTTGTTTGCTCTTCCTTTGCGATTTTTGGATGTAGGTTTTTCACCCGCGTTCTGGGGCATGTTGACATTAATTAACGCATTCAGGTTTGGGGAGGACCGCTTTCTGTTCTTAAACCACTGAATAAATTCTTTCAGAATGCCATTTATTTCAGCTACTGTTAGGCAGTGTGAGCACAGAGTGTAGGTGGACCAGTTGATACAAGCTTTATCGCATTGTACGCGATTGGTCTTCTTCGTCCAAACAACTTTATGTGGATTGGAGTTGCGTCTGCTATGAACCAGGTACGTTTCGGATGAACCGCGGTTGACCTCGTCAGCTGGAACTTTCCAAGTTTTATCTCCATCGCGTACATAGGTCGCAGCTTTCGTGAACATGGCATCAAGTACTGGGAAAGAATACTAATAATTCCAGACCTCTCAGTTAATACCGATAACTCGCCATTCAATACTTGTTCTTCGCGTTGTCTAGTCTCGGAAACGGGCGCAGTGAAGATTTTTTTCTTTAATGCTTTCTTCTGGGAGTCGTTCATGCGAAAGAAATTATTTTCTTCCACGCGTAGGAAAGAGAACTTGTCGCTAAGGCGATACTGACCAAGTCGCAGAACAGCCAAGAATTGCTCGTCATGTTGTCGTGCCACTTCTGCGCGAATTCTTTCGATGTATGGCAAAAGAGCAGTCTGATGCTTCGAGGACTTTGGATCTTGGTCTGCCTTTATGATCCGATTCATGCACTCATTTGCGTTTTGTGTGTACAGCGTAGATGGGTAGCCAAACCCGCACATCGATCTTATATCTGACCTGGCAGATTCACGAATGATCTTTGCTTTGGATTTCAGAAAGTAATCTTCGTGCAAAGTTGTCCACTTGCACACAGCAGATTGTAAGCAAGCGCAGAACTCGTCAGCTGACGTGGTATGAATTAATCCTCCTTCTACTTGATCTTCTATTTCGTTACCAAAGATATCATTCATGATTTCTGTCGCTGGGCGATCTGTTATACCACACTGGACGTCAAGTTTCCTTTTGAATGTCGCAGAAAAGATGTTGTGCATGTGGAAAAACGTCTGAAAATGCATCTGCAAGATTTTTTCTCCATCTGTTCCATAAACCAGCACGCCTGCAGCCTTCTGGTGATATTTTGTCATCAGTAAACGCAACGTTTGATACGATGTTTTAAGCTTCTGCTTGTGGAGAATACCAGGACCAATATACACTGGATGATTACCGTTCTTCGTAGTTAGCATCAAATTCTGTAGGTCGTAAAGGTGAAGTAAAACGAGGCAATTTGGAATGTCGCATCTACGCCTAATACGCAAAACTCAGGATTCGTGCAAAAAGGTTAAATGTCAACCAGTTGCTGCTTGTTGGCAATAAAGACGATTGGCTCAGGGAAAAGAGGTATTTCACGAATAAAAATATCTTCATCCCGTCCTTGTTGTTCCTCTTTGGCTTTTGCTAAAACTTGCAGCATTGGATCTTCTATGTGCGTTAGGGGTTCTTTCTGCTTCTTTACTTCTCTTGTGATGTTGTAAACCTGTCTCCTATTACGCGGTAACGCTCCAGATGATCCGATTTTATTATTCCTCCCCTTTCATTGATCACTTTATGCACTGTTGAACGATCTGGCAATGTTCCAATGTTCTCCTTTATCATTTTTTTGTGCTCTGCATCGTTCTTTGGTACGCACCACACCTTGTATACTTTTAGCATTTCCATGTAAGTTTACTTTAACGGGTTGTTCGCCGTTGTTGAATATGTATTGAATGAATACCAGATCTTTTGGATCGTTGAAGCGGACTCACGAGCTGTATTATTATTCTTTGAAGCGAATCCATGCAAGGGAGCACAGCAGTATTGTTTTCGAGACTTTCGTACTTGTATATGGCTGTAAAATCTCTGAATAGTGAGTCTTTGTCTTCTTTGGTTCGCTAATTTGCATATAAACACTAAAACACTGTTTTTAAAATCGTAAACAAGCCAACAATTTCTTTATATTTTCGTATTTTTACATGGTCGTCCGCTGTACATTGTATCGCATGTAACGGTTTTGTAAATACGCGCGAAACTTACAATAAGAAATAGAGGGGAGTGAAACTGTGGGCACATCCGGTAAAATCTTTCGACAGACGCTGTAGCAAATTGCTAGGCACAGCAACCGTTGCTAGGCACAGGTAGGCTTTTTAATACAGTCGACTTTTTTTGGTAGGCTTTTTAATACAGTCGACTCTAATCTAACCTGAAGTTCAGGCCCTATTACAGAATAGTTCAGGCCCTTTTTCAAATTAGGGTCTGAACTTCAGGTTAACTCTAATCTGATTGTAAGCATTTGGTTTTGCTACTAACCTTGGAGAAAGCGGTTCTCAAATCCCGAAGTGTTATTGGTTAATATTGATCACGTGCCCACAGTTTTACTCCCCTCTATTTCTTATTGTAAGTTTCGCGCGTATTTACAAAACCGTTACATGCGATACAATGTACAGCGACGACCATGTAAAAATACGAAAATATAAAGAAATTGCTGGCTTGTTTACGAATTTAAAAACAGTGTTTTAGTGTTTATATGCAAATTAGCGAACCAAAGAAGACAAAGACTACCTATTCATAGATTTTACAGCCATATACAGGTACGAAAGTCTCGAAAACAATACTGCTGTGCTCCCTTGATCCATGCTTAAATTTCTGTACCACTGCCGTTGGATGACAAAAACACCGACTTGTTTATTCGGTAGTTTATCCTTTGCTGATTTGGCAAGTTTCCCATCCCCGTCCATACTGTAAAACAGCTTCTTTGAGCCTTCGGACTCCCATGCACCTAGGTCATCAAATTTCAGGTCATCTTTTTCTGGGATCTTCGATCTGTCCACTACAAAAACGGCGTTGTTTTCGACACTTGTTGGGCCGCGCGTAGCAATTCGAGAGTGGTTTATACAACGATTTACTAAAAGTTCAGCAACATCATCTGTACACATGCCTTTTGTCAGACCCCAACGGTATACTGGCAGAGCTGGGTCACCTTTATACAGGCGAATTTTATCGTTATGTATGGGCTCTAAACTTTCATCGTTATGTATGGAGTCTAAACTTTCATCGTACAGTTCGGCGATACTTTCAAGATCATTTTATATAGAATGATTTATTGATACCTGTCAGTGTGTTTTAAAACATAATGGACAGATTTTTCGATTAGCACAAACGTCGATTAGTCACTGATGATTCTGTACGAATCACAGCTGTATGCAAGGGACAGAACCGAACGAATAAACGATTGAAGTTATATGTATGCCTTCACTGTCGTCTCTAGGACTGTCATCTTGCATTTGTAATGACTGATCACTTTCTTCGCTTCTACTCATATCCTATAAATCCAGTGGGTGATTAAAATTTATATTTTAAAATTATAGGCCTACTTACAAAAATTGGTAGTCAACTAATAAATAGTTTTAACTTGCCATTTTAAAATTGTTGTTTTTACTTTCCCTTTGACGTTTGACGGTTGTACCATCGTTGTTACTGAAATCTGTTAAGTCAACAGAAGGCTTATCGGTGACCTTCATTTGCCCGATGGCATTTTCTATTGTAAAAAATAACGATGTAAACGGTATTACAATGAAGAAAGGATAGTGAGAATCTAAATGTCTGGGGCCAGTGTTGTGCCCTTAATTTACGCGTTTGTTAGCCTACTACTACTCAAGAAAAAGACGACTGTTATACCTTCTTTGGTTATGGTAGCAGACCTTAGCTGGTCCGTTTCTGTTTGAGCGATCAAAGTGCCTTTGTTTGCCATCCTTTTTCTTTTTGTGATTTCTTATATAAAGAAAGTAAGATTTCAACCATTAGCTACATAACTCACAACATCATATATACAGTACCTATCATACTCGAGTTAAATTGGTGCATGTTATTTACTGTACTTTCACTGTCAATTCCAACGCTCAAGATCTCTCGCCTTTCAGATGACGGAACACTTTCGTTGCTTCTACGTAAGTTCTATAAATGTTAAAATAGATTTGTTTAGAGTATAACTTTATTTTGAATCGTTGTTTGTTTCACTTTTTCACTCTATGATTCCTTTGGAACAGCGTATCGTTTTGGGTTTAGTCAAGTCGATTGCATTGACTTTGGTCGCCAACCTTTGTCTCTTCACAATTCCTGATGCAAAATAAGATAAAAACTTCATACCGTATATTATATCAACCTTTACGTTACTTAGTTCGATGTGGCCATTCCAAGGATAAATTTTGGTGCGTATCATTACTATGTATTAGTACAGCCATAGTATACCTTCATCGTCAATTCCCTGACTGGAGTCCTTTCGCTTTTCAGATGACCGATTATTATATCTTCGTTTTCATTTAAATTCTGTAAATGTATTTTATTAAAATATATTGATTTTTGCCTGCATGAATCTCCACAATATCGAAAAAGGTTTCGTTTAATTGTCAAGAACTGACCGTTCTAAGCTTTTTGTTCCTGCTTTCGCTTGGTCGCCCAACTATTCTATCCGGGAAAACTAGTCAGAAATTTCGTGTGAGGATCCTATAAAATTGTAGGAAGAATATAAGTATTTGCCACTATTTAATGGTTTTCGTTAATTTTTCACCATAATTTATTGGAAAATATTGATGTATTCGCCTGATTTCCTGATTACATACGGCCATGTGATTAGGCGTTTGATGGTTAATCAGTGGATTGATTTTTGGTAACTTATCATTGCACAATCTTTGTCACTGAAATCTGTTAAGGTGGCTCGATATAGTTATCACAAAAACCCTTCTCAAGAATCGCCAACTCAAAACCGGTTGACCATTTTTACGCGCAGGTCGCGCTAACTGATTAACAAAATGAAAGAACTTCCAAAATGACCGGACGTGAGCAGTTGCTTGCGCCATATCACGCCATTGCGCGTGTTCTATAGCGTTTTATGTCAATTGCTGACGTCATTAGAATTTTCCATTTTAGAAAAACAATGCGCTCTATCTCATTTTGTCTGGTGACCTATGTTCAAATTTTGCATGCTGTATTGCACCGCTAAAAGCTTTCATTATACAAAAAATTTAAAAAATCTGTAATGACAAATAAATTTTACCGAAGAGTATGACATTTTCGCATTTTCCAAAAAAATGAAATTACAGATTTTTTTTATATTATGCTAATTGTCAGCTTTTCGTCCAAGTAAAATAATGCACGAAAAAAATTGGGAGTCACCATGCTTTTTTCCAACTATACGAGACGATAGGCCATTTTGGAGTGAATTTCGTACACGTATGACGTCATAGCAACGAACTATCTGTTATTAAAACAAATATAATTTGAAAGTGGAGTTATAAAAATATATAAAAAACCCAATATCTGCTGAATAAATCCTAACTAGAAAGTACATGCATGCAGAAACCCTCGCCTTGCTGACAAAACCATTGTATTTTCCTAACATGAAGTATCTGAAGTAATTGTCATGGTAACACGATAATTTTTTAAGAATATTCTTACAAATGAAAATCTCCTAAAAAATATTACTTTTAATTACAAAATTATTAATTTCCCAACATATATATGTTAGGTATGTTATTATACGTAATATAAGCCTCAATTTAAGGTAAAATTCAACCACAAACGCTTCGCAAAACGTTTTAAAGTCACTAGTGTTCTTTTAATATAAAACTAAACTGCCTTTTAAAATGGCTTTATCGATAAACTTTGAGTTTGCAATAAAATGATTTCAAATTCTCGCTTGCAAATAACTCTGCTTTCTTTTTATTTAAAAAAATTCAATATCATAAAAAAGGGAATCAATATTACTAAAGATACACTGAAATTATATGCTGTCTTGTTTAGTTGTTTCAATATACGCAAAGGCCGTCGGGTTTTAAATTAAAGCCATTAGGCATTATAAAATCAATATTGAAAACAAACTTACCTTCGTTAACGTCGGCTCACTTCTTTTTGCCGATTCTTTCGCCCTTTCTTTCTTGAAATTTACAAAATCTTGCAAAAATGCGAGCAAAAATGAAATATATTTGCAAGAAATTTAGAAATCATCAAATCAAGAAATGTTTGCTATTTCGCTGTCGTCATGCAGTCGTTATAATGCAAACTTTAAATTGGACCAATCAGTTTTCGCTATTCATGACAGTCCGCCACATATTTTGAGATATGTGGCGGACTTTCAAGTCATTACTACATCATACCCAAGAGATTGAGTCAGGATATTGTGTAATCATTTTTCTCGTTGCAAAGGCAATCTTGTGGTGGTTCAAGCAATATGACTGCCTATGCATACGGGTACAATGTAAACAGTGCCATATCATATCAAGCAGCCAAATCTATTGCCAAAAAGCAAACAAATGTATTTCAGGCTGATGCAGGTGAATTATGTAAGGTAGATCAGGCAAATAACCTTCCGAGAAGAGTTAATGTTGACAGTACTTTTTCTCAAAACATGTGGGCTATTCAAATTTGAATAAATCATGTTGTGCAGTACATGGATAACCTTGGTAGTACTACTCTTTACTTGCAGTATAAGATTTAAAGCTCAATTTAAAGATGTGATAAAGTCCGTAATGTAAACAAACGCTTTCAATGTTTACAATTCGAACTGCAATATTTGTACAATATGATATACTGACCAAATATCTAAAACTATTCTGGTTTGCTAAACTCATAATGAATATAAACTATAGTTTCAAGTCAAAAAAGTTCGAAAGATGCGAAATTTGGGCAATGTTTATATCTGTAGGTTCCTCTTTGTTATGAGGAAAACCAATGTACAGAACAGACTTTACAGCATCTTCAAAGAGTTTGAATGAATAAATTAAACACACCAGTTAAAGTGCAAGATTCAATTTGAACTATGTCTGATTAACCCACTGAGTGGCAGCACCCCCCCCCCCGGCAAATAAAATTGTCTGGCATTCAATAATAAAGTGGGACTCAATGGGTTAACCCTTTAAGTGGCAATGTGCCACATTGTGCCCTGATGTTCCCTACTAACTTTATTATGTTACTCTGTCCAATACCAGACGATTTTACAAGGGGAAAGCGTTGGCGCTTAATGGGTTAATGAAACTTTAATTAATGTAAGTATATTGCATTGTTAATCAAATCCAAGCATATCATCTGAAGGCAGCTAGTGCTTATATGGTGAAGCTAAAAAAATAGTCAGGCCACATACTCTATTAGGGACTGGTCATAATTTATTAGGGGGGGGGGAGGTGTAATTCAAAATTTTAAGGAATGATATTTTGTGACCCTGCTTTGCCATAACCCGGAAAAATAATGCCCCCCCCCTCTCTCTCTTACTCCTGTCAGTAAAAATGTAACTACCTACTACTAAACTCTGCATTCAATAAATTTTCTAATTGCACTTTAAATTTTCTAATTTTCTAGTTGCACTTTAAATCAAATACTAAAATTTATAAACCAAGACATAGTCATACAATTTTTTTCAATGCAACTCAAACAAAATGTGAGAAGGCATGTATAAAACAATAAATTCAACTAAAACAGCAGACCCCCTCCCCGCCTTCATAAACTGTCTAATATTTTATGACCCCCCCTTTTCCTGGCTAAAAAATATGTGACCGCCCCCCAACTGTTTCCACCTCCCCACCCTGCTAAATTATGACCAGTCCCTTAATCTAGAATTAATGAACCAATGATTGTTTTTTTGTGCTACTATTTGGAGGCTGAGTTATGCTTTGATTTGACTGGTACAGGTTCATAATAAAACTACCTGTATATTTTAATATATTCAAATGTTCAAAATAATTGTATAGTTTTTGGATTATTTAATTAATAATAAATTCAAATTTTGAAATGATCATTTCTGTTTTCTGAATTGTTTTAGTTCCCAATAAGGTCTGTATATACTATTGTCAATTGTGATCTCTTGTTGATTCTCAATTGACATCTGGAATCTTTCTGCAGACACTTACAGTATAATTATTCATTAATTTAACCAAAAAAAGAGATTATCAAGTGAGGTGTTGTAAAATTATGTTCTGGTTCAAGTTTGTTTTGGTAAAATTTATATAGATTATTTTTCTATGGCCTGTAGCAATGACTCAATCTGCTTACTTTTTCTCTTACCCAAAAATGTTGGCTTCCCTAATGATTTTAATATTTTAGCCAGCTCTTTGCCCTGCAGTTCTGCTAACATTGCTTCTCGATTTGAATAAGGATAGGTAGACAGTGACTGCAAGAAACTTCTGATGTTGTCAGATGACATACTTCCAGACCTCAATTGAATAATTTCTTTGCATTTTGGCTTACCAGATGATGATGTCGTATACCGCAGTTGTTGACGTATTGCCATGCTATTTTTATTGGGTTTAAGCCCTCTTTTTTCGCGAATCATTTGCTGTTTTGATTTTAGGAAAAAAGTTACAATCCGTTGGAAGACAACAACGGATGTTGCATTAGATGGCAGAGATGTTAGATCTTTCCATTTTTCTCTTAGCACCTTATTTGCAGCCAGTTTTTCTAAGCCATAAATTAAAATGTTTCCTTTCTGAAGTTCGATATTGGGGGTTATAATACTCTCTATAAGGTTATGTAAAAACAGAAAAAATGGAACAATATGTTCATAAACAATAAATCTAAACTTCCCATCAGCTTGCTTAAAATCTCTCCCTAATGTAGAAATCAGTTCCAGTGCTTTATGTTTCTCTCCACAGACAACGCTTGGCCCACCCTCCGTCTCCATTACTTTTAAGCTGTCACTTTCACCCTTTGAAATCGTTTCCCTTGCCCGCTTGATCACCCAACCAGCATGATCTTTGATACTCGCAAACTCACTGTCATCACAATCTGTTACAGATTCTTCAGCACTTTTCTCATCGTTTTCAACTGTAATTACACGAATGTCACCGTACGAAGACCAAAAGTACTGAAGAACCTGTTGCAGTAATTGCTCTGAAGCTTCCATATATATATCAGTTTCAGTTATTTCATCACTGAATATCAGTTTCTCCCACGACTGTTTAATACAGTAATGATAAAAACTGCAGGACCGTTTCTCACAGAATTCGTTTTCAAGACGTATTGCTTTCTTTTGCGGATGTTTTTCGTCTTCAGCCCGTACAAAACAATCTTCAATCAGACGTAAAATATTTTGCAAAAACTCGTCTTTAAGGTCACATTTGTTTTCGTCCACCAATGCATTGGAAACCAATTGCAAAATGGTCTTTTCATTTGACGGTGACTTGTATACGTGGTGAAGTGTTTGCAAAAACGATTTTAAATTATTTGCTGTAATGCTTGAACAAATACCAGAGATGTCAACATGAGAGTTAGATGTTTTAGCAAAAGAAACATCGCCTTTGTCAATATCATTTAAACAAAAACGAGTGTTTAATAAAGCTGAATCTTGTTGAGATGATGAACTCCCTGCCGCCGCCATATTTGTTTCTACCTAGCAACGGTTGTCAAGGAATAGACAAATGTTAATTTCTTGAGCCAACCATTCACCGTTAAACATGACGTATTCGTCACCAAGCCCTGCATCACACGTCGATCACCCTTCCTATTCTCGTTGCACCGCCCTATATATAAGCGCCCTGATTCCGATAAACCATGGATGTCTGTGTCTATCAAAAAACTCATTAATGACCGTCAAAGAGCTTTCCATGGTGGAGATGTTCTGCAGTGGAGAACTTTGAAATATAAGGTCCAGACCGAAATAGCCGTAAGAAAGAAAGAATATTACAAAACTTAAGTACAACATCTTAAGAAAGACGATTGGCGAAAGTGGTGGCAAGTCGTTAATAAGTTGTTTGGCCGATCTCAGAAGTGTACTAAACTTACCTTTGAAAAGGAAGGTGAATTATTATCAGATTTAGAACTGGCCAATAACTTGAACAAGTTTTACATCTCGGTTAACGCAGACATTCCACCACTAGATATAACCATGGCCACGTTACCAGCATACTTACCTGCTGTTGATCAAGTGCCTTACATCGAACCGCACGAAGTCTGTGAGAAATTATTGGTCGTTAATGCCTCCAAAAACATGTGGTCCTGATAATATTCCAGGTCGCCTTTTGAAGGAATTTGCGCACCTTTTCGCTGAACCAGTTGCGAAAATCTTCAATATGTCACTTGCATCCGGGATTGTTCGAAATATATGGAAAGACTCACATATTACTCCCATTCCAAAAGTTAAACAACCAACTGACGAGGGTGACACAAGACCCATTTCACTAACGCCCTATTGCTTGCTCGACATGTTGCATTGTTGGCTTTCTCATTTGGATTCAACTGGTCATTTTCTTCGCATATGCTTTTTGGATTTTTCAAAGGCCTTCGACCGTATTGGCCATAACATTCTTATCCAAAAACTTGTTGATATTGGCGTTAGGCGATCGTTAATACCATGGATCGTAAACTTTCTATCAGGGCGAAGACAGCGGGTCAAACTTGCGGAAGCTGTTTCTTGTTGGCTTCCTGTCACAGCCGGTGTCCCCCAAGGTACGAAGTTGGGTCCGATCCTGTTCTTAATTATGGTCAATAATTTACAATGCGGTTCGGGGAGGCCTAGCAATTGGAAATTCGTTGATGATGTTACTATCTCTGAGGGATTATTAAGGAATCGGGAACCCTCTGTAATCCAGTCTGATTTAACTTCTATAGCTACATGGGCATCTAATAACCTGATGAAATTGAACGCAAAGAAATGCAAAGAGATGCAAATTTGTTTCTTTCGGAACAAACCTGAACTACCACACTTGTGTGTTGAAGACCAGATCTTAGAATGTGTATCGTCGCACAAGGTTCTTGGATTGATTATCCAGGATGACCTTAAGTGGAATGAACATATTTCGATGATTGTTACCAAAGCATCCAAGCGACTGCATATCCTACGTGTCCTACGACGGGGAGGGATTCCACCGCACGACCTTATCACAATTTATTATGCATTGATTAGATCTCCATTAGAATATTGTTGTACAGTATGGCATTGTGGTCTACCTATGTATCTATCTGAACAAGTCGAGAAAATTCAAAAACGTGCACTGAGGATTATACTGCCAGGTCGATCCTACGGTGAAGCGCAAGAAATGTTGCAGTGTCCTAGGCTGGATATACGTCGAGGTGAACTTTGCGAAAAGACGATAAAAAATATTGCATTGGGCAGTCGTCTTTCTTCCCATCTAACTCTCACCAGTGAAAACGAACATGTGTATAATTTTTGGAATTTTAAACAATTTGCTTCTTTTAAATGTAGAACTGATAGATTTGGTAATAGTTTTTTCCCTAGCATGATTAGTGTTTTAAACAAATAATTGTTCTTAGCTATAAGTTCTTATTTAATAATCTAATGATACATTGTAATATAGTTACTTTTAGTATTGTAATTCCCATTCAAATCAATTGTAAAACACATTGTAATTCATTTTCATGCGATGATGTGTTATTAAAATTCCATTATTATTATTATTATTATACCTTAAGTCAACAGAAGGCTTATCGGTGACCTTCATTTGCCCGATGGCATTTTCTATTGTAAAAAATAACGATGTAAACGGTATTACAATGAAGAAAAGTATGTGGTAACCTAAATGTCTGCGGGCATTGTTGTGCCCTTATGCGTTTGCTACTATACGAATGTTGTCAAGAAAAAGACGAGTGTTATACCTTCTTTGGTTATGGTGGCAGACCTTAGCTGGTCCGGTTCTTTTTTATGAGTTAAGTTAGTATCTGCGTGGCTGTCGGTCTGCTGTTTGGTTCGAATTTACAGCACGACTTGAAGATATCGTCAATTTTACTCCATTGGGTATTTCGCAGTCCTTCATATTTTGAGTCGTGATGCGGCATAACTTTGCGCTTCATCAAGTCTTTAAAAACATCGTCCGTCACTATTTATATTTATAATAGTTGAATTTTACCAATTTGTTAATCTTATCGCTATGTTTTTAACAAACACTTGTGCTATTGTAGGCCAATGTGTACAACAGCCAATTTTTAGCATCTTGTTGTCAGCTAGCGGCAACTTGATAATATTAGTGTCTGCGAGCAGGCTAGGCATCTTGTGTCGGCCTTATGGAATGTCAAGAAAATCCAAATCCCTTATTTTTAAAACCGATTGAATTAGAAACTCTTATTATAGCATGTAGTGTTAATACTCGTACCAATCCCCTTTAGTTCGCGCGTGCTAATGACACAATAATAGGAAAACATCTACTGCAGTACACGTTTTACCTTCAATAAAAAACATTACAAAGTAACTAAGCCACTGAATTTTGAAGTTTGGTACTAAATTTCATAACTTAAAGGTCGTAAGGTATATTTCCTAAAGTTTCATAAGGTACATCAAAAGTGCTCTGAAAAGTTATGTTCTGTTGTTGTGTCACGTCATCCGTGATGTATACTCTAATAATGCACGCACAAGAACCAAAGAAATGGCTTCATTTAAATTGCTTATAAATATATTTATACCATAATTCATATAAATGAAGCAATTTCATAGGTTCTTGTGCGTGCGCTATTAGAGTATACATCACGGATACGTCATACAACAAGCAAACATAACTTTTCAGAGCACTTTTGATGTATATAGATTTCATTTTGCCGTGCGTATGTACTGTAATAGATCACGGAAGGCGCCATAGCGTGAAAATACCAAAAAAGTCATAGCACTCTTTTTCGTCTCGTGCCGTACTTTTTAGTCCTTTTCACGCTATGACGTCATCCGTGCTCCATTACAGTACAGTACAAGCTGACAAACTGATATTACAACAATTCGTATGATTTTCCACAGGTACAAAACTGCATGTTCAAGTTCATTATGATAAGGTACAAAGACATTTGGGTTTACCATCTGATGTATCACGATACCCAGTGACCATATGTCTGATTCCTTCAGATCGATGAATCTCAGGTGCCATCTATTCGAGAGTACTACGACCTATGCATTGCGTTTTGGACATCAAAACTGTCTTGGTTTGTAGTTCAAGAGATCTAGTCAGACCGAAATCTGCCAGCTTACAAACAATTGGCAGTCGGCGTAGGCAGTTTTGAAATCAGTTTTTAATAGCACGGGTTACTGTAATGTTGGTTACAGACTAAGATGTTAGCTGGTTTAATAAGATCTCTATGGGCAATGTTCTTATTATGGAGATACTCCAAACCGGTTATTATGTCCTTAGCACATACTGGCAACAGTTCTGCAAATGATGTAAAGTCAAAATCGTCATCGACGAGGTAAAGAAAGTTCGACAAAGTGCTGGCACGTTTTTCTATATCAAACGGGCCAAAGTCAAAACACGCGTATTCCATCAATATAGAGCCAGGCTCTTCACAAAACCCTAAAAATTTCACTATTTTTCTGTGGCCCTGCGTTACGTTTAAAAGTTTTGCCTCTTTAATAAAACGTGACTTTGGGTCGTAGTTTTCACTTTTCATCTTCTTAACAACAACTTTTTCGATTTCTCCTTCATATTTTCGGAGGTAAACCTCTCCAAAACCGCCACTTCCCAGCTTCTTTTCTTTGGGGAATCGTTTCCAATCAAATTTGGGTAGATTTGTCGGGTTTTTTACCTTAGAAATAGTCAACTGTGGAACCTTAAAACTGGCTGCCATTTTGTTATAAACTCGAGAGAAAAACAGCAAACAATAACAAACAATTCTAGTTTATATTTTGGCGGAAAAACATGCTTGGGGGAAGTAATTTGTATTCTTTGAGACAATTTCAGAGGAACAAAAATAGAATTTGGGATTTCCAAGGGGTTATTTGGATGTACGCGGTGGATTAGTGGATATTGTAAAAAGTGACAATTTTGATTACTTCTGCATCATATTACTTTAATATATCCATTATCGGGGACCAGTTCTTTCAGATAGCAATTCTAAAAGCACTGTTACTAGTCATCCTTTGACCGAAGTGATTTTGTGCGACAAAAACAGGCTTTAATTATACCTATTCGAATAAGAAGCCGTTTTTCTGAGATTGCATATTGTTGTAGCTAAGTAAAGCTATAGTCTTTATAATATATGATTGATACACCTTTCAAAATTGAAAAAGTTTGATCTTTTCTAAGTTTGCCGACACTACTAAATCACATTCTTCAAAGGGTGGCACAATTAACATAGCACCTTTAACTTTGAGAACTCAGGAACTAAATGACACAAAAAAATCTTCCTCTAGGTTGGCATGAATAAAAGAAAATATCAATGTATTCATCAATAGAAAAAAATACCAAGCCATGTTTTACAAATGAGTCCAGTCTATATTTTACAAATGAGTCCAGTCCATGTTTTACAAATGAATCCAGTCCATGTTTTACAAATGAGTCCAGTCCATGTTTTACAAATGAATCCAGTCCATGTTTTACAAATGAGTCCAGTCCATGTTTTACAAATTGTATTGTTCTGAGTCCAGTCCATGTTTTACATATGAGTACAGTCCAGGTTTTACAAGTCCAGTCCAGGTTTTACAACATGCCGACAATTTTACTTATCCGGGGGAGAGTGCTGTCACTCAGTGTGTTAAATTTATTCCAATGCCACTCAACATGCTGCCCATCTCACCTTGTGAGGCCATTACCTTGTTAACTTTTATCTAAGTTGTGAATTTTTACATTCTGTAAAGTAAATATATTTAACCCATCAAGTCGCATTGCGCCCTGATCATGCACCCTACTTTAAGCCAGACGATTTTACTGATCAAGAGGAGATCGTTGGCACTTAATGGGTTAAGTTGTCTATTACTGTTACAATCTAAATAAGTCGGACCTTCTATTGTGACACAGAATAAAGACATACAGAAGTGTATCTTCTTATTAAAAGTGCGTAAGGGATTTTTTTAGTCCGCCATGTTCTTAGCAAGTGCCCTAAAGAGAGGCAGTCACCCCCCCTGAAAACGTACTGAAAATTTAATATTCCAGGGGGATGAATGCCTCTCTTTAGGGCACTTGCCAAGAACATGGCCGCCAGCTATTTCGGTAAAAAGCGCCTTACGGTTTTGTAATGGAAGTTACACTTCTGTATGTCCTTATTCTGTGATTGTGACGCTATCCGCAGATACATGTACGCTTGGCGTACCTATTTTTTATTTCAAACTTAACGTTTTTCGATAAAGCCTTATATAATAGCTTTAAAGGGTATGGGCAATGAAAATTGCTTCTTCTATCTTATTGCTTCATCTGAAAGAGCATGAAAAAATAAGCCGATTGGCCGTTTACTGCTCTATTCTATCTCATCTGGTTCCGAAGTTATACGCAAAAATGTGCAAAATATAAATTGCTGATTCAGCACAATGTGTGACGTCATAAGCGGGGTAAGTATGTTTATTGAATAGTAAACTAAAGCATAGCTGAGTTATTATTGGCTCAAATCAAATGAAATTTTGCATACAGATAGTACATGATGAGACGCATGGAAAAATACTTCTAATTTCGTTGTCAAGGCAACACAGTCGTTCCCAGGCCCCTTACACTGATTTTGAATAACTAGTTGCATTTCTCTATGTGTATGTCATTTTCGAATTATTATCATGCAAGTAAACTTTCGGCATGCATAGGTATCGTACACATACTTCTGATATTATTTTATTTTTATCAGTACCTTGAATAAAGCTGTTTTATAAAAATGGTGCAAGGGGCCTGGGAACGACATTGTTACCTTGGCAACAAAATTAGAAGTGTTTTTCCATGCGTCTCAGCATGTACAATCAGTGTCCAAAATTTCATTTGATTTGGGCCCATAATAACTGAGCTATGCTTCAGTGTAGTATTCAATAAACATGCTTACCCCGCAAATGACGTCACACATTGTGCTGAATCAGCAATTTATATTTTGCACATTTTTGCGTATAACTTCGGAACTAGACGAGATAGAATAGAGCATTAAACGGCCAATCGGCTTACTTTTTCATGCTCTTTCAGACGAAGCAATAAGATAGATGAAGCAATTTTCATTGCCCATACCCTTTAAAGGCAGTTTAGTTTTATAAACAACATTTTCAAACGTCTTGCGCGTTTGATGTTAAATTTTAATTACTTTAAATCGAAACTTATATTACGTATAATAAAATACTTAACATATATATATGTTTGGGGAATTTTGTGATTAAAAGTGATATTTTTTAGGGGGTTTTTCATTTGTAAAATATTCTTAACAAAATTATCGTGTTACCATGACAACTACTTTAAATACTTCATGTTCGGAAAATACAATGGTTTTCTCAGCAAGGCGAGGGATTTCTACATGCATGTATTTTCTAGTATTTGAACAATTTTGAAATATTTTCTTTTGTCATCCCACTGTGGCAAACATGCACTCGTGGTTTAAGTGTTATTTTTATTAAGGTAACGGAAAATATTTCCGATGGTAAAAACTTTTAATATGTACTGATATGCAAATAAAAGTACACGTTAATTTGGCCGTCTCTATAGTTATTAGTGAGTTTAACTATTATGCGGGTTGCGGGCTAGAACACCCGTGTTGCTGATCAACCAGATTTATTAAAAGGACAAAATCTCAAGCAACAGAATCTCAATATTCACTATTTTGCTTTCCTTTGAAATCGCAAACATGTCTAACACAATCCCCGCAAGAACAATGTAAACCAGCATATATGCACAATAGAACCTATGCGTCCGTCAGCCTAATATCAGACGGAACTCTAGTCAGTTTCTCACACGTGCGTTTACAAAGGACTCGGTAGCATGCTTAAAAATTCTGGCGTTTTTTTATGGACAGCGGTTGTTCCCTTAGCATTCGCCTGCTATGGGCGCATGAAAGTGGACAAATTCAGGTACGTCTGAATGGCTAACAGTACGAATTCCCGTGTGAACAATTGAACCAGTGAGACTGTATATAATTAACGAATTGTATAACATCCAGTGTATATAATTAACGAACTGTACCTATACAGAAACCCAGTGTATATAATTAACGAACTGTACGTATGTACAAATCCATTGTATATAATTAACGAATTATTGAAATTTAAAAAGATAAATTTCGCACCAAATTTAATTCCGATTTTGCAGTATCAGATTAGTTTAGATTCTTTTAATATGCAAATTTTGCTCAGGCCTTTGTCTTTGAAAATTAGTTCTTCCTCCATTTTTGAGTTGTGTTGTCATTTAGTCAAGAGCCCACAGTCGATCATGCCAACCATGGGGTTGGTACCTCATCTTTCATGGCCATTTTAGACCCGTTTAACTAAGAATATTTTGTCGGCCAACCTTAAAAAATGGGCGTGCCCTGGGAACCAGGTTTAATTTTGTCATTTTTAAATAGAACTCGTCAATTTGGTCTGCGCCCCGCAATCGTGTGGCCCGCAGCCCGCATTTTCTAGCCCGCTGCATGCAAAATAGCTAGGCCCCTTATGAGTAAGATCTGATCTTTAACTAATATTTGCAGCTTTATAGCAGTCTACTTTGAGATGTTCAATATCTTCAATATCTCCTTTGAGATGTTCAATATTGTCGATACTAAATATACTATATTAGTGCAGCTTATTAAAACTTGAATTTTTGCAATTATTCTGATTATGATGTATCACTGTAATATTTATATGTATTTACAAAACGGGATCGAATCCCACAACTATTTATAAAAAAAATTAAAGCTTGTCTAAAGTCACATTTAGTTTAATAAATATAAGTTGCATTGAAGGAAATTTAAAAATATAACAAATCTCTTTTAAATTAAATTAGGTTGACAGTTGTTACCATGGCAACGAGAAAAATTAACCTCTTTTTACTTTCATAATGACGTCGTATAAACCATGCATGTACAACTACCAGAATTAAAGCAAGTATGGGGTAATAACTGAGAAAAACAGATTCAATAAAAGTAAAATATGGAAAGTTCCAGTTTCACAAAAACCTAATATATTATTTTTCTTAGATATCCTAAAACATGATGATGGTGAATGAACCGTATGAAGACGACAGAGACTATCAAAGAATAGGGTTGGCGTTAGAAGAGAAAAATCGAAGCTAATGCTAATATATGTTATTGACTGAGCTTGTTCGGTCTGGACTGTAGTAGAATATTAGTTCCGTCCTTTTTTCGTTTATATAATAATGGATGTCGCCTGCGGTCGGTCCAGATATACAAACAAAAAAAGAACTCGAGTAATATCATAAAATACGGACGTCTCGCTCAGTCAAGAACAAATGTTAGGCGTCATTATTGTTGCCAGGAAGTTTCATATCTGTTTTGGTTTTATGTGAACTCTGATAAAATATGGTTAAAAACGTTAAAAGTTTTATTTAAAATCAAGCTTTCGGACTGAATGTCCATCATAAGGATTCCTATGGTAGAAAAGTCGCTCGCTTAAATACTGTTTATATGCAAATAGGTAACAATAAAATTAAATATATAAAATAGCTATGAATAAAACTATGAAAGGCTTGATGCTTTAAAATTCTAATGTAATTAAAATATCTTTGTCTCTGTCTTTACAATTCTATTGATCTCTGTCAATCAACACTTCATAAACCTCAGGCAAGGTTCTGCCGTTGTCTCTATTAACAATAGCATTGTTCTCCTTCTCATTTACCCATGCCTCCTTCCATTTTCTCTTCGAACATTTACCCTTTGTGTCATCCTATGCAACACGTCGA